ACAGGAGAGACATCCCCATTCTAAAAGAATGGGAAGAAGGAAAGGGTGACAGATCCCAAGCAAGTCTAAAACCAAGCAAGGCAAACTTCATGAAATCTCCAGGCTTGGGAGTAATCCGTTTTGGCTGGGTCCTCTGCCTTCCAAGCCCTCTGGGGGACAGTCTGCCTTCTGGACCCACTGGGGCAGAGTCCACCAGGCCTGTTAAAAGCGAGGCAATTGTCCTCCTTTTTGAAAACAAGCAGGCAGCCATGATGATCTCTGGACCACCTTGGGATCATTCTTTTCTCGTCTTGAAGAATATTGCATGTTCACAGCCAAAGAGCTCCGTAGTTCTGTCCTGTAAAACCCAAGATGTTTGATAGTCTTCCTTCATTCCTTCCTGTCTCTTTCCTTTTATTTTGTTTTGTGGTTTTCCTGCTGGAGTAGCCGATGTGGTCCGTGGTTCACACCACACTTATCCCCTTAGCAAAGCCTCATGTGGCCATACCCTCCGTGTTCTCTTCCAAACACACATGCTCATTTCTTACAGTATGGGTTGGCTGAAAATTTCCCGGATCTTTAAGTTCCGGCTCCTTTTTCCGTAATCCGCGTCCATGTCGTTTCTCTCTTCTCTCATTTTGCTCTAAGCGGTCAGGGGGAACCAAGCCGCCCCTCAGCACTTTGCTTAGCAGTCTCCTCAGCTGATATCCAGAGTCACTGGTCGCAAGTTCTGCCTTCCACAAAACACTGGAACACAAACACAATTCAGATTGTCTGCCACTTTATAACAGGAGTTGCCATTTCTCTATTATCCGCTAACCGTTCCTCATTTCTGTCTGAGAACTCATCAGAATGGCCTTTACCGTCCATATTCCTGCTACCTTTCTGTCCACGATTACATAGGTGTTCCCTCAGAAGACAGAGGCTCTTTCCCGAGCTCTCTTTTTCTTTCTGAGCTCTCACCAGCATGTGCCTATGAGAGTCCATTCGCGGCACTCTGGGCGTTCTCGAGTGTGCCCCTCAGAACTCTCCCAGCCTCTGCCCGTCACCCAGTTCCAGAGCCACCCCGCATCTCAGTACCAGTTCTCTGCGTTAGTCTGTTCGGACCGCTCTAACAAAATACCACGGACCAGGGGGCTTCAGCATTCATTTCTCACAGTTCTGGGGGCTAGAAAGTCCATGGTCAGGGACCAGCACGGTTGGGTGCTGGCGAGCACCCTCTTCCAGGTTGCCACACTACCACCCTCTCACTGAGTCCCCACATGGTAGAAAGCAGAGCACAGCTCTCTGGGGTCCAGCTCATCAGGGCCCCAATTCCATCTGTGAGCCACCCTACCCTCATGACCCGAATCACCTCCCAAAGGCCCCGCTTCCAAATACTGTCAAATTGGGGATTGGCCTCCGTGTAGGAATTTGCGGGGGACACACACATTCGGTCCATTGTACTTGCTTTTCTTTATTTCTCACTTTAAGTAGAAGAAAGGGTCTCATCAAAGCTGGGTGCTTTCACTGCCCAGCCCCTGACAAGTAATCCCATTTTTGAAAAATGTTCTGACTGAGGTCAGCAGAATGAAAATTAAAAACGGGGGCCAGTGCTTACGAGGTGGACATGCAGCTCTCATACCTTCTTCTCTCTCACATCGTAGAGGATGAAACAAAACGTTCTTTACTTCCAGGGGTGACCCTGAGCTCTCCTTTGGTTCCTGGTGGTTCTGCCCTTTTTAAGGTCAGAGATTGTGCCAAGGTCATCTCTGAGTCCTCGGTGCCCAGCTGCAGCTGCACCAGAAGAGGTGCTTGAGAAGTACTGGTTCTGCTCAGAATCCGCACACTGTAGCTTACGTGGCTGGGGGTGTCCTGTTCTTTAACAACTGCTCTCCCCTTTCCCTTGGCTGCTCCCTCTGACAAGGTGTTCCTAGAAGGGTGAAGGGAGCCACAGATGCCGACTTAGAGGCTCAGTTTTGGGGGGTGGGGTTTATGGTAACGTTTTTTCCCTCAACATTAACACTGTCTCAGAAAGCTTTCCTCTGTTTACTCAATTGTGTAAATGTAAAAATATGAGTAAATTTCAGCAGCTATAGGTTTTGATTAGTAAAGTTTAGATGCCTTGGCCCCCCAACTCTATTGAGGAATAATTAACAAATATAATTGTGTATATTTAAAATGTACAGCATGATGCCTTGATACACGTTATGGAATGACTATCAAGCTCAAGATCATTAACACATTCATCACCTCACATTGTTAACCTTTGTGTGTGTGTGATGAGGACGCCTAAGACCTACTCTAGCAACTTTCAAATACACGACAGTGTCTTCTAACTATAGTCACTGTGCTGTATATTAGATCCTCAGAACCTGCTCCTCTTACAACTGAAAGTGTGTGCCCTTCAGCCCCTGCCTCCCCATTTCCCCATCTCTCTGTATCCCCTGACTACCATGGTTTTACTCTGTTTCTATGAAATCGGGTGGTTGTTTGGGGTTTTTTTTTAAGATTCCACATGTAAGTGATACCATACAGTATTTTTCTTTTTCTCTCTTATTTCACTTAGTGTAATGCCTTCAGATTTGTCCATGTCATCACAAATTGCAGCATTTCCTTCTTTTTTATGGCTAAGTAATGTTCCTTTTTGTATGTGTGACATTTTCTTTATCCACTCATCTGTCACTGGACACTTAGGTTGTTTCCATGTCTTGGCTCTTGTGAATAATGATGCAATGAACATGGGAGTGCGTATATCTCTTCAAGATACTGATTTCTTTTTGTTTGGATATATACCCAGAAGTGGAATTGCTGGATCATATGGGAGTTTTATTTCTAATTTTTTTGAAGAACCACCAGACTTTTCCATAGCGGCTGTACCCATCTACACTCCCACCGACAATGACAAGGGTTCCTTGTTCCCCACATCCTCGCCAATACTTACTGTCTCTTGCCTTTTTGATAACAGCCATTGTACCAGGTGTGAGAAGATAATTTCATTGGGGGTTTTGATTCGCATTTCCCTGATGATGAGTGATGCTGAGCACATTTTCATGTATCTGGTGGCCATTTCAAGAATGTCTTTTTTGGAAGATGTCTATTCGAGTCCTTTGCCCATTTTTTTTTTTTTTTTTTTTGCTATTGAGTTGTATGAATCCTTTATATATTTTGAATATTAACTCCTTATGAGGGGTTATAGATAGCAAATCTTTTCTCCCATTCTTAGGTTGCCTTTTCAATATATTGATTGTTTGCTATGCAGAAGCTTTTTAGTTTGAGGCAGTCCCAATTGTTTATTGTTACCTTTGGTGCCTAGAGCTTTAGGTGTTTTTTAGTTGTGGGGTTAGAGGAGATGAGAGAGAGAGGGAGGATTATTAGCTATTTCTTCCAGAGGCGTTTGTGCTCTTCTTCTCCTCTTAACACCCTGATCTTTTCATGCTCCCTTTCCAGGCAGTAGTGTGCTGGTTTCTGGCCATCTCAGACTCCCCGCCTGCTTCAGGAAGTTTCTGTGTGAATGCCTGTCCTGTGGGATGCCCTGCTTCAGTGCACTTCTCTGCTCACTCTGTTCCTTTGAAAATCCCTGAGTTCTTGTTTTTAAGGTTAAATAGGTTCCCGGCAATCCAGGGACTGTAGGTACAATAGGAAACACTGAATAAGAATAATGGCTTACCTCACACTGACTGGGTCAAGGGAATGGGTCTTTGTATTGAGAGTCATATAAAAATGACTTCCTCACACTCAGAATTATTTGGCATCTGTTATGGTTAAAGATATGCTCCCTCTCTGTGTGTTAGTTTGCTCAAGTAGAAAGGAAGAGGGTTGGCTTGCGAAGTATTTTGAAGCCATGTGGTGGCACTGGGCTCCGTTGGGATAGAACTGACCTCTCCCAGTGGCTGCTGCCCTTTTTGTCCCCCACCTTCTCACTCTTTGGCTTCCGGCTGCTCCTCCCTTGCTTTCCCTAAAGACTGCAACAAAATCAGAGTCTCTTTCTCACTGCTCACCCTCTGGTTTTTCACTGAAGCTTTTTACCTTGCTCTAAATGATAATGGCAATAATTTAAAAAACCAACGAGTTTCAAAAGAATTTATTGTAGAAGGAAAAAGAAACTCCAAATGTTTACAACATACTACAGTATTTTATTTTTACAAAGCAAAGTACTTATATACAGCATGAATTATTAACCATAGTGTCATTTACCTTCATTTTGCAGCCACTTTTTATAGACAAGTTAAAAGAGAAAGCTCTTCAAGCCCTTTTCTTACAAAGTAAAAAATAAAAATAGATATATCTGTATTGACTGACCATTTTAAGGCAGTTTTGTGCAAGCATCCCCGAGGGACTTCTCCCCACCTCCTGCTGGAACTCCCCAGCCACCCTTAGACCCACTTCTGCCTTTCAGCATTTCACCCTGATAGAGGCAGAGCAGGGAGTTGCTAAAGGCGTGCCACCAGGCCTGGGTCCCCAGAGATCCCTCTGAGCAAGTCCAACCTGGCTCAGCCCACCACCAGTGGAACAATTTCTGTCTTAAAAAAAAAAAAAATGTGTAGACCAAAGGTAATTTCATCAGATTTGAAAAGTCAAAACTCTCCTCCATGCCTTTCTCTAACACCCAAGACCTCTCCTTGACGATCAAAATCACAGGGTTCTTTTTTAGGTGAGGAATCTGTTTTCTGCCCTCATACACCTAGGCCTTCAACTGAATAGGTAAAGTGATGTCATAATTACTTTTCTTTCACAGAAAAAATCAAATGGAAAGGAGATTTTAGTGTCTGTCAGGGATCACAGACAGAGAGAGAGCCCCCTTGGGCCAGCCCCCTGAGAAGTATGTGTGATAACCCATTGTGTTCAAATAATTCATCCCATTTAGGTGACACCCTTGTACTTAAATTTGATTATGCTCCTGACTCTCTCATTGGTGATTGTAGGCCATTTTCCATCTTTCCATCCCTACCTTTCTCTCCCCTCTTCCTGCCCTTCCCCCGCCCTCACCCAGCTTCCATTTGTCCCCATTTTCCCACCCCTGCCCCGCAGCAGGCCTCCTCTTAGGGCTGGAAGTCTTCCGGGCGGATTTTCATCTCCACCCGTTTGAGGGAGTAGCCAGACCCGTGCCACCCGTACCAGGTAATGCCATCCAGGTGCTTGTTGTGCTCCCCGAGGCGGTAGTACACTCCGTTGAGGTTGGAGTCTGTGCAGCAGTTGTACCAGTAGCCACCTGGCACGAGAAACAGACCGGGGCTGGGACGCCGAGCTCGTCCTCCCCTTGGAAATAGCTGCCAGACCGGACAGCAGGATTGGTGAAGCTGCTTTTTGGAACAGCGGCTAAGCAGTTAGAACCCGTGTCCCCAAAAAGAGTACCAAAGCCACAATACCAGCTCTGCGGCTCTAAATCCGTTCTTCTCATGCGGGACTGCCCCCTCTCCCGCCCCCACCGGCCTCCCCCTCCCCACCAGTCTCACCTTTGCGGAGTTGTGCACACTTGTCTAAGCAGTTGTCATTGTCCTTGTCCTTGGTGCTGAAGGCCGTGTTGTTGTGGTAGACCAGGGCGTCGTTTCCCACGTTGCCGCTGTAGTTCCCCAGGAAGAGGCGGTAGCTGTTCAGTTCGTTGCCCAAGACGAAGTGGCTGTACTCCGCGTAGCGCACGCTGCCCTCCCAGTCCTGTCAGGGAGGACGCCGAGCCTTAGGGGAGCTGCGGCGGGCCCTCGTTTCAGCCCGTGCTGCCACTCTCCCCTCTCCGCTCGCAGCCGCGCATCCCGGTTCCCACTGCGGACCGAGCAAGACTTTCCTGCATGTTTGCCTTTAGGGGGCCGCACTAAGCTGGGAGTCAGGACAAGGGTACTGGGCCGCACGTCTCTCCTGAGTCCCCAGCTGGCCTGGACCAGCCTCTCTTTCTGTAGCCCTTCCCGGCCCTGCCTGGAAGGTGTAGGTGTGTGTTTGTCTCTATCCCCCTTGGAGATGTCGTAGAGTGGCTTGAGAGGAAAGCAGCGCTCCAAGGCCACTCACGGCCCTCACGGTTTGCATACACAGGAGCTCGTGCCCCAGGCCAGAGCAGACATCGCCGCATTTCAGCCCCACTGACTGGGGATTCCTCTGCTCTGGCCTGAGTCCAGCCTCTTCTTGTGTATCTGCAGTCTTGCTTTTGTGGAAAAAAGACAAAAACAGGAAAAAATCTCGTCTCCCTCAACTGTACTGCAATCTGCAGGAAAACCATCATAATAAATACACAAGCCTATAGTGGACAAGAATGGGAAGGGCACCCCCAGAGTTGTGCACAGTTGTGTGTGGCAGCCTGCTCCGGTCCGAGGCCTCGTGCTCACCTCCATCTCCACACGTAGCCGGGTTGGCCGTCTGGACAGCCGGTGGATGTGCTCATTCCCCAGCCAGAAGTCCCCACGGATGCTGCCAAAGCCCAGCTTGTACTGCTTCCAGTCCCGGTAGAAGGAAACGAGGCCACTCTTTCGTCTCTGAATGGTGGTCCAGCCGCCGCCTGACGTCTCCATGTCACAGAACACCTGCGGCAGAGAGGATGCTCTGGTCAGGGACCCACAGAGGCGGGCAGAGGAGTGTAAGGGCAGCGAGCTGCACCACCTTCCGCCCATTTCCGCAGAGCCAATGGATGTGTGCACATCCATAGTCATGCTGGCTCACTACAGCCACTGTTTGGCCATGTTGGCCGGCAGGAGCGAGGTGGTGGTTTGCTGGGGAAGAATTGTCAAAATTGAGGATGGGGGCAAGTGCACATCTTGTCGGAAGAGAAGAAAATCCACATATGCTCTCAACATGTTCTCTCTTTTCTCCTTCCCCAAAGAATAATTAACTGCTCTAGGTCGTGGCAAGAGATGTCAACTAGTTAGGTAGAGATTATAGAATTACCTAATCTATGTTAGAAGATTTGGTGTTTGGTTGATAATGATTTGAAGGGGCAAAACAGATGCTTGGGGAGGTTCCCCCCCAAATTGAGTGTGTGGCTAGCTCTCTGGTATTTGGTATGTTTGAGTCTCTGTCTTGAGTTTCCCTTTGCTTCTACTGTGACAAGCCCCATTGCCCCCAGCCCTTTGAGGGGGCGGAGGACAGATGGGAGCACCTGGGCAGTGGGCTCTGCTGACCTCACCTCCAGCTCGGGGCTGCCCAGAAAGTCATCAGGAGGCAACTTGTACACTCCAGAGATGCGGTAGTTCTTCTGGTAGAGGGACGAGCAGTCATAGATGGCATCTACAACAGGAGCAAACCACAGGGGTGAGCATCCAAACCCGGAGGCTCCACGGCAGGTGGACATCCGTGCTGCAGCTCAGTTGAGAGTTTCAAAACTGAGACTTCATTTCTACCACGACATTCACATGAGTGTTCATTACTAGGCCGTGTCTGGATTTTAGAGAGGTGTAGGCATTGGGAGACCAAAAGGGGGTGTGTTTTGGCTTCACTGGTTGGGGGGCTGAGGGGTAGGGAAGCCCTTCACCTGGATAGCATCAGTAGGATAATCAAACAGGTGGTTTTAGGTTAACTCTGAAATCGATTATCCTGCTGAGGTTCTAGGCCATGAATTCTGGAAACATTCCAATGTGTGATGGCTACCTAACAGATGCTCCTGTTTAATAAATTCAGCTTCTGGGACAGCCAGCCTCTCTTACCACATAAGTCATGAGTAGGGTCTGCTTTGGTTGTTTGCCTGGTTGCTTGGTTTGTGTGATGGTTGGTGGTGGTCTTTCAGAGGTAATGGCTATTTTTACCTATGAGAATTAGCTATTTTTATCTAGATTACCTACTAGGACCCTAATGAAGGGAGATAGATTTCACATCTTATTCCCCCCCCTCTTTCATCTAACACTGCTCAGTTCTCAAATGGAAATGCACACACCCTGAGGAATGCTTAGAGGCCTTCCCCTGGCAGCATTATTAAAACAAGCAAACGAGGGCGCCTGGGTGGCTCAGTTGGTTAAGCGACTGCCTTCGGCTCAGGTCATGATCCTGGAGTCCCAGGATCGAGTCCCGCATCGGGCTCCCTGCTCAGCAGGGAGTCTGCTTCTCCCTCTGACCCTCTTCCCTCTCGTGCTCTCTATCTCTCATTCTCTCTCAAATAAATAAATAAAATCTTTAAAAAAAAATTAAAAAATAAATAAATAAATAAAACAAGCAAACGAGAGCATTGGACAGACTGATTTAAGTGCTTCCTTGGCTGCCTGGGGGCTACTGCCTTATGCCAGATTTGGTCTCCATGTTGCAAATGTCAAAGAGCACCATGGAAGAAACCGCCTTTCCTGATAGGATTCAAAGAGCGGGAACCCTTGCTATCCAGGAGAGGCTTCCTACCCTCTGTGTCTGGGATTCTTTCCTTGGTGGCCCCTGCACTGGGCCTTTAAGAAGAACACACCAATGGCGGCACTTCTGCCAAGAACCGTCCCAGGCAGAGCGTCTTGCAGGAGGGGGTGGGGAGGCACGTGCCTTCGCCATCAACCCCTTCATTTTCTGTAGCGATGAAAGCATCAACTTACTGCTTTCTCCGCTGGCCTATCTACTAACACAGTATGAAGGTGACCCAGCACCTGGTAATAGAGAAGAAAAATGAGGAACGATATCCTGGGCAAGAAGAGGAAGAGGCACAGCAGGAGAGTTGCCTTTGTTTGACCCCCCAAGAAACTCCCTGCTGGGAGGGGAGCAAATCCCAACTGGAGGAGCCGGCGGGGGTGGGGGGGTTGGGTGGTGGCAGGGGCAGGTTCCCAGCTGGCCTGCTCTCCTGTGGGTCTGGTTTCATTTCACAGGCCAGATCAGAACCCACTTATCTGGAAAATGTCCTAAGGATACCTTTCTATTCTAGTCCCACACTGAGGGGCAGGAAGTACATGCTTAGAAAGTGATTTATACATGGTGGTTTATTAACAATGGGATGTCGAAACTTAATTTCATGTTGAGGCTTTTTCTTCATTTGAACTGAGAGTAACCAGTGATTTAGTCTGTTGTGTCTTGACTTGGTCTATGATGTGACCAAAAATTTTTATATCAGCAATAAGTGACATAGATATAGGATATTCTCCTTACAAGTAATAATTTCCTGATGATTTCAGAAACCCAAATCTCTTCTCTCTGAACAGTAAATTGACCTTGGCCAGTCTAAGCCAATGTACCTAGAAACTGAAAATTATTTTAGAAAACATTAAATGTATCTTATTTTGGGGTCACTAAAAATCCAGATCTCAACATTGCATTTTCTTCTTTCCTATAATGGGAGAATTTTATTTGAGATCATGGGAAGAAATAGAAATCTCAGAAGCAGGGAACCTCGAGGAGCCTGTCCTTTCCTGAACACAAAGGAATCCTTCATCTGGCTCTAGGCAACATCTACACCTAATTCTGAGCCAGTGGGAAGAGTCAAGTTTGCAAACAAGACACGAAATCCATTAATGCTTATACCACTAAATCTTCGGGACATGACAGAATTTGGCTTCTAGAACAACAGATGTTACAGTTTTGGTGTTCATTCCTGTTTCCTTGGGACTGAGGGTACAGCCTGTCAGCTCTGGCTAAGGAAGTTGACCAATTGGGGAGACTTGAACCCTGTTTCTAAGATTTTCGATGTGACTCTGGGCAAACCACGTTGTCTCTCTGCACTCCGGGATGGTAATTCATACTTTTCATATGCTGAAACATATTGTGAATAAAGAGATGGTGCAGGCACTGGGTAAATTTATAGAAATGTACAGAACATTAGAGCCGGTGGCACATACCCAAGAAAATATACCCCAAAGAACCCCCTGTCACCGATCTGATGGCCAAGATATGTAGAAATCATGCTACAGACAGAGACACTCGGCCGTTTGAGCAAGAAGATGATGAGTAGTAGATGAACATGTTCTCCTTACCTGCCGAGGTCTGGGTGACAGTCTGGGCCGCCTGCAGCTGCATAATGTCAATCTGGTTGTTCATTTCCGAGTACTTGCTCTCCGCGTCTGTGAGCCGTGACTCCATGCGCTTGGTGCTGCTCTCCAGCTCCATCACCTGCATGACCACGCTGACCCAGTCCCTCTCCTGCTTCTGGCTCAGTTCACTCAGCAGGCTGCTTAGATTGGTGATCTGGGCCTTGAACTCCTTCGCCTCCTCACAGCAGGTGGCCACTTGGAGCTGCACGGGTGTTTTGCGTTTCGGGGGCTTCTGTGGCCACGCTGGGGGGCTGACAAAGGCCATGATGAAAATGCAGAGCCAGGTCACCCCTGGGAGAGTCTTTTTCAGCATCTTTCTTGGGCCTGGGTGAGGAATGATCTTCCTTTTGGGGATCTGGATATGCCCAGCTGAGGTCTGCAAAGCTGAGCAAATTACCAGTGTGCACTTTCTCCCTGGATGGACTAACCACGCTCTTGCTTTCTCTTCCCTTGCTCTTTCTTAGCCTTTGTCAAAGCTTGAGTTTAAAAGTGCAAATGAATTGGGCTCCCTATACCTTTCCTTTCTTTCCCTGAACACTCTACAGACTCAGCATCTTAAATATTATCTGCTGCCTGCACCTCCACCCCCACTGTGGACGTGCATGGTGCTTTAGCCCCTCCCAGCTCATCTGGGAGGGTCAGGTGCCTGTTGGGTGAAGTCAGCGTAAACTTAGGCCAGAGGGGAGGAGGAAGACAGGGGCGAGTCTTTCTTTCCTTGCCTGCATAGTCTCTGGGCTGAGACAAGAGGACTGTGACTTTGTGTGTTTCCAATTTCGCCTATTAGATTATGCCCCTGCCAGCCACTGGCTCAGCTCTATCAGCAAGCAGGGCAGGGTCAGAAGAATTTCCAAATTCCATTCTAAAGGTTACATAACCATGGGGTGAGTCTAAGGTAGGCAGAGAGAGTTGGGAATAAGACTTCCCGCTCACCCAGGGAGGCCTGTTAATGTAATCCACGCTGTTTGTATGAGGATCTGGTATATTTTGGCATCCTGCTGAGTGTGCTTTTAACAAGGCTGGTTATTCCTTTCTCTGATCATCATTCAGTGTTTTACAAAACCCTTATTCCACCTAGATCTAACAGTGTGTCACATTTGAAAATATCCAACTTAGAAGAACTCTAGAAATAGACACAGCCTCTTAGGAAGCAGAAAAAGACTTTGTAGTTTGTATCCACAGGATTTGCTCAGTCGTCTTCCTTTGTACGTACTTTCTCCATCAACAAGTGGGCCAGCATTAGCTTCTCACACTTGGCATTTGACAAGGAGGTGCCAGGGAAGACAGCAGGGACAAAAACTCAGGAGTGACGGACATGCCTCTGGGATGGTCATACACGCTTCCATCCATCTGTAGGCACAGCAGAGAACAGGCCCATCCTTGGCCTGTATTTCAAAACTTGGAAAGTCCATTAAATCATAGGGCGAGGAATCCCCGTCACCTAATAAATCCATATCTATAATCTCATTTCCCTTGTCCTATGTAATACAGTCTGCCAAACTGAAGCTATTCTCTCTGTGTGATATGTATCCCTGAAAATGGAGTTACTGTCCTTTCTCATGTACTGTGTTTGAAGGGCACTACTCGTTTGAAAACAAATGGGAAAAACCTGGGATTTCAGCAGACCTTAAATACTTAACGTGAGTTTTTCACTGAGAATGTCTACAGAGGTCCCTCCGTCCTTAGACGGTAGCGAACTCTGTGTTTGCAGCATACTCTTGCCGTTTCCGTCTTGCAGAGCCGCTGAGGCAGTCCTCGTACTGTTGCTGTGTGGTGTGGGTCCTTCACACATGAGCCTCATACCTGACAGCCCTCCTTCCCTGCCGTGATCCCCCAGAGTCCTTTTCCAGTTGGGACTTCTGGCTACCCAGAAAGCCGTTTCTGTTCGGGAGGCTCGAGTTACCAAACAGTTTTTTCCCTTCTAAGTGAAAAAGCGGGAGTGGCTCGGGTAGATCAGGGTCTGTTTTCTCCTTTCCATAGTCTCCTTGCCCACCGAGGGTCAGGACATGGCTGGCATCCTCTAGCAACTTGTCAGCCCCTGTTCAGAATTGGCAGCCAGTCCCCGCTCTCTTGACGCAAATACCCAGCCCAGCTGGGCACTGCGGTTTGCCCCACGGCATTCACTAACTCAAACCCAGCCCCAGCTGTCAGCATCCGACAGGCTGCTGAACCCGGTGAGGATCTTCAAGTCGATCCAGCCAACAGCCGGCAGTGAGCTTGTGCCGCGCGACCCACACAGCCACGTGGAGCATCATGTGTGACCCTGCCGTCTTAGGGCTCCCCTGCAGTAGCACGCTAGACAGAGTACCACAGAACAGGGGGGCTTTATGGATTCCCCGCCAGCTTTTTGTTTGTTCTTCCCAGTGGCCGCTTCCCCGGCCCAAACAGGAAACTGTTATGAATAGATTTTCGTATTTGGGCAGAAAGTGAATCAGTCATTTGTATTTGCAACCCATGGAGCAATCCGTCCTAGGGTTTCGTAAGTTTGGATCAGAAGCATCTAGCTGTTTGCATGAATGCCTGCTCTCTGACATTTATTTTCTGAAAACCAATTTCTAACATGAGGTATAAGTTGGAGACAGAGGCTTTCCTTATTTGAAGATTTTCTTACATCATCTAAGCTGCCCAAATGTCAGTAAACCCCCACCCCAAATTAAAAAATTTAGCAAATTAAGAGTGTTTCCCATGCCAGAAGATTATCAGTCCTCCAAACATCCACAACCCTGTGATGTCCTAGATTTTGAATTTCTGAAAGAAGGAAAAGTAAACCCTTGTTTTGAGTACAGCTAAGCCAGTGGAGAAAACCAGGAAGGATGTGGCAGACTAGACTGGTTTTCCTTCTCCAAAAAGCTATTATTCCCTTCTCTGCCCTTCAGCGAATAAAATGACCATAAAAATGGGAATTAACTGAGAAAATCTGGAAAGCCTGTGTTGGACACCTTGCAGTTTTTCCTTTTCTCTATTTTGCTGGTGGTGAAAGAGGGTCAGCTTGATGTTCCTGGGAAAGATGTTTATGAAAAATCAAGCTTATATTCTTGATGAGAAAAGCCAGTGAGCTCTCACGTAGCCTGAAAAGTTCTCGAAGACTTCACAGTCTGGGGCTGCGCTGCCTCGGGCTGGCACCAAGGACTGGAGGTGTTCGAGCAGCCTGGGGATTACAGAGCAGGGAAGAGCCTCGAGGTGGTCTCTCCTTCTACCCAAATGGCAGTGTCAGGTCTCATTTTCTTGAAAATGTCCCGGTTAGAGAGACTCCTCCTTTCTAATGTATTCCTCTCCCTGCCTGCTCTTAAAACCATCACTGGCGAAATTGGTGAGGGAGAGAAACAACTACCCTCAGAACCAAACTGCCGGTTTATTGAATGAATTCAGCTCAGAGGAACCTGCCTTGTTAACTTTGTGTACTAAATGGTATTTTACTTCTCCTAAAGTCTCGTAATGCCTCTCAGCTTGCTTTACTATATGCAGCCATTTCATACCTGACTTTGTGTCACTCCAGCCTATTTCTGTCCCAGCTAAAAGCCCACATCCGTCCCAGAAGGTACAACCATCTCTTCCCTAAGCTTCTCATTCGCCACTTCTGCCAAAGAGTGCATTCTGGATGGGTTAGAAGGCATTCTCTCCGGCTCCTCCTAGAGTCTATTATTCATTTATAGCACCCTGCAAAAGAGTCTGTCTCGGCTCCCCCTCAGACTTTGTAGCAAACACCGGTTCTGTGAGCCAGCATACAAGTTGCAGAGCATGGTGACAATGCCAGCCCAGCCGCAGCTGCCTCAGTTTAGTTGGAGAAACAGACAGCTGAGCTCTAGGACAGTGTGACACGAGGACAGGGGCACAGAGGAGGAGGAGTGCCCAACCCAGATGAGTTTGGGAAGGCCTCCCAAGGGGAGTGATCCCCAGGTCTCAGGGAAAAAGAGGAGGTAGCCAGGGGTGGAAGGGAGCATCGTGAGCAAGGTGCAGCTTTGTGAAAGAACTTGATTTAGTAGGAAGACACAAGTAGTTGAGTGTGGCTTAAGAGTTGGGAGCAAGGGTCGGGGAGAAGGGGGGCAGTTAAAGCTGAGAGTTGGAGGGGAGCCAGGCCTGAGGGACCTGGGTGTGAGGGGTGTGATTGCTACTCTGGAGACAGAGGCATCTCTGGAAGGAATCTAAGCAGCTTTTACCTCTTGTTGCTCTGTTTTCCTCAGCCTCACTGGGAAAGTGGCTTTTTGTAGTTGGCAAACAAGATTAGAATTTCTTGAAATCTAACGCATTCATATTAAATGCCCTGAAGGGATCATCTGGCTTGAGGATTAAGGAGGCGGTATATGAAGGACTTGAAATAGTTGGGTCTAGAATCGGGCAAATCTGGGTTCTAATCCCTTCCCATCACTTGATAGTTATATGACCCTAGGCAAATTACTTCTCTGGGTTTACAGATCTGTGCAGTAGAGATGAAAATCATAACTACTTTACCTCACAGAATTTTTGGTTAAATAAAGCAAAGGATTAAAATAGTTAAGGCATTTTTCAATAAGAAAACTAAATTTGAGGATGCCTGGGTGGCTCAGTAGATTAAGCGTCTGCCTTTGGCTCAGTTCGTGATCCCAGGGTCCTGGGATTGAGCCCCACGTCGGGCTCCCTGCTCAGCGGGGAGCCTGCTTCTCCCTCTACCTGCCACTCCCCCTGCTTGTGCGCGCGCTCTCTCTCTCTCTGGTAAATAAATAAATAAAATCTTTAAAAAAGAAGAAGAAGAAGAAAGAAAACTGAATTTGGAGGAGTTAAACTACTAGAAAACAAAATTTATCATAAAGCTACCGTAAGTAATTAAGGCAGTATGGTGTTGGCATGAGGATAGACTCATAGATAAATGGAGCAGAATCAAATGTCCAGAAACACCCACACATATGTAGACACTTGATTTATGACAAGGGAGCACCACAGAACAGGGAGGAAAGGATAGTCTTTTCAGTAAGTTCTTCCAGGTCAGCTAGGTAGCCTTATGGGGAAAAAGAGGGCTCTTGACCCTTACCTCACACCACACACAAAACTTGAAGTTCAGAGGAGGTTTGAGTTCTACATGTGAAAGGTAAAAACTGAAGCTTCCAGAAGGTAACATAGGATATTATCTTTGACATCTTGGGGTAAGCAGATATTTCTTAAGCAAGATACAAAGAACACTAACCATCCAAAAAACATTATCAAATGCAAAAAAAGGAGTCATCTCTGTTCATTAGAAGACACTATGAAGAGAGTAAAAAGGTAGGAAGAGATCTCCAGTACATACCTCTGTGTACACTGTCTCCAGAGGATATGTAGAACTCTTACCCAACAATTTTTTAAAAGGTAGCCAAGTTAAAGATCAGCAAGAGATGTCAATAGGCACTTACTTCACAAAAGAGGATCTCCACAAGGCCAGTGAACGCATGAAAGGCTGCTCAAGCTAATTAGTCATGATGGCAAT